ATTGGTCTAACTAAAGACACAAATATCATCAATACTGTCAAGAAGCGTACAGCATAGAAAGGAGAAGACAAAATATGCAGTATTCAACATATATTGCAAGCAGGATATCAATGCATCATTTCCCTAGGCCAATTTGCTTTTTCAGAATTTATGCATAATAAGCAATTTAATATGCTTAAATATTGGAAAGAGAGATAAGAAAAGAGGAGAAGTGTGGGCTTACTGTTTGGCTTTAGGCATAAAGAAAATATAGAAAGCAAAACTGCAATAAGACAGTGAGGCAAAAGGCTAAAAGAAGCATATATCAGTGCTACCCAAATTAGACAGAGATATACAGCAGAAGTAATCACAAAACAGGAAATGCCAAAACCTTGCAAGTCTGCCCAGTAGCTTGACCCAAGAAAAGATGCCAAAGCTTGAGATATTCAAAAAGGTCTTAGGCGCCAAGGGACCAAGAGGCTGGAAGAAAAAAAAAACAAATATAAAAATTGCAACAGCAAAGCCATACAGGGATATATCAGAAACAAGAAAAACCAACACAAAAGATATACAAACTGCATAAGCCCTCCAACCTGAAAAAAAAAAACTATTGTGATAACCATAACCAAAAAGCCTCAGACCTGCATTATCCTTACCTCCAAAAGCCTCAAACCTGAAGCACCAAACCAAGTCCTAACCTGGCCTAAACCATTCAAAACCTGGCCTAAACCATTCAAAACCTGGCCTGATATCCAAAACCATACCAGCATAAACAACATACCAGCCTAGAGCAAGCAAGGCCATCAACCTGAAATCTCAAACCTCAAGCAAAAACCTGTTAAGGCCATAAACCAGTCAAACCTGCTCTAAGCTTGCCATAAGCCTGCTGAAACCTCAAAAACCAGATAACCTGTCAAGAAGCCTAACATGAAGCCTGAAACCTCAAGCCTCACCTCACCTGAAGCCTAACATAAACCAGAAAAACCCCAAACCTGATTGAGCCATCAAACCAATATCACAAAAAAATCATTCAAAGCCATTAAACCTGTTAAGGCCTAAACCAGCATAACCTGCTAAGCCATTAAACCTGTTAAGGCCTAAACCAACATAAAACAAGCCAACTCTAGACCCTCAGAATCTCTTCATCATCGGGCCATCAAACCAACGTACAAAGCAAGTCAAACAGGCAAATCAACCCAGGCATCCAGCAAAGGCAACACAAAGCCTCAGAAAATCTTCTTCATAGGCAAACGCATAAGACAACCCAACTCAAAGGCAAGGAGAAAGTCATTAGGCAAGGTATCCAACAAATCAGCAATCTCAGCATGAAAAGGCATCACATTTCAACAGGCAAATCAACATAGACAACAAAAGCATTAAAGGCAACGTGTATACAGTAGGAGAGAAGAAGAAAGAAGTGAAGTTTCAAAAAGGGATTTTCAGTCAGTTCATCATCAAAACCCTCAAATGGCAAGAAGATAAAGAGTACAGAAATACCAAGTGTCATCCAAGCAAGCATCGCGTGTCTCCGCCTCAACTTCCTTGTCCCGGCCTCCTACGCACTCGAAACCTCCCTCCTCCTCCTCCAGGTAGCTTTTCCACCATCTTTTTCCTTTCATAAAATCTCAAAAATCACATAAACACAAACTCAGAATCAATGAACATGGAAATCATGAGCATGCAAAAATTATAACAAAACCTAAAACGAATAGGAATTTGATCGTACCGTGAATCCATCGTCGTTTGCTCTGTTGGAGGGAAGAGGGAGATGTGGTGTACCGGTGGCCTTCGGGACGAAGGAGAACTCAGAAAAGCCGAATGCGAATGAAGAAGAACGTGAACGGAGAAGACAAGGCAGGAGCGCCGTTTCACAAACCCTAAGCGTTGTCAAAACTGAACACAAAACAAAGAACCCTAAACAAAAAAACATGTGCATTCATGTGGGCCTCACCCCACTTTCTGCGCCCCAAGGCCAAGCATATTCCTAAATGACACACCCCTCCCTTTTGCTTATGACTGCCTTTGGGTAAGGGCCCATTCCCCCTTTTTGACCCATTCAATTATCAAACCCTTTTTTTTAGCACATAAAACATTTTTTTCTTTCTTTTATGAAATAAATTAACATAATATTTTGACATTAACAATACTTTTTTCATATATACATAATAATTAAATTTTATATAGAAACTAATATTTTCTCTTTACAAATTAAACTCACATTTAATTTAAATTTTCTTTGTACATAACAAATGAAAATACATTTTTCTAATTTAACTCTTGATATTTACTTAAAACATACTGTTGGTATATAATAAATAAAGATACATTTTTTGATTAGAACTTAAAACATTCAATTAAAACATTTCTTTTTGTACATATTAAAGGAGATACAAGATTATTAATTAAATAAACATTTAATTTTTTCTTTAAGTTAAATAATACTTAATACACATTCAATTTCACATTTCGCACCTGTAAGTAATTACTTACACAATACATCTTACACTTACACAATACATTGCCCCTATACACATTTGCTTACATTTGAATATCCGTTACATTTACATTTGATCGCAAATTCGATTTGGTTGTAACTTATTGGATACTATAAGTCTCATCCCCATTTGTGAATATTGTACCCCCACTCCCGGATACTTATTTTGTAATAGCGTAGATTTTACATTTTCGCAATTTACCGCTTTCAATTATACCATGATTAGACCTAGGGTTTGCATGTACATAAAATCAAACGCTAGATAACCTAATGCAAGACAAATACATGAAATCAATACACAATCACACTTGCACACCCTAGGGTGATCCCACATGTTGCCTTCCAAAATGGGCCATGCTTGCACGTCGAGTAGCTTTGGCAAAACAAGTTCAAATGATCATAAGTCCCTCGATGACGCTTTCGAATGTTGCCTAAAAGGAATGATCATAGTCCCTTCAAAGCAAATTGCCAAAGACACTTGGCATCATTGCATTCATGGTCCATACGATGACCCGCGCCCGTCCCGAACAAACTTCCTAAACGCAAGATTGTCCACCAAATTCAATGGTGGAACAAAAATTGTTAAAAAGGGTAAAACATAACAAAAACCTTTGAGTACAATAGGGTAGATAAAACTCTTAGTTACTTGAGATTAACTTGCAAAAACACTTGCTTTCTTTTCAAAAACCACAATCCACAACACTTTCAAAACAAACTCTCAAAACATTTTTGAAACATCTTTTCGAAAAGATACACGCCTTTGTAAAATATTCGAGTAAAGAATTGTTACAAGGTTAGCCTAAGACAAGGCATTTTCTTCCAAAACATTTTCAAAAACACTCACACACACACCATTTTCAAGCAATCAAAAATCAAAGCAAGTGATCTAAAAAACCAAGTAACTAAGAGCCCATGGATAACCATGGATGAAAAGGGTGCTAATACCTTCCCTTTTCATAATCTAACCCCCGGACCCACGAAATATCTCAAAACGTTTTTGCTGTGCTTTTTTAACCTTTCCTTTAGGATAAAATAAAAAGTCGGTGGCGACTCTTGCTCAACCGCACAAGTGCGAATACGAACGCAAAATCATAGTCAGTTCTCCCACCGTACCACACTAGTTATCTTGGATAAACTGTGACACCCCACTAGGCCGCACTCTAAATCCTGTGCTTCTCTTTAATGTTTGTTTCAAAACCTCTTTGGTGTTTGTTTCGAAACCTTTTTTTCGGAAATCAAAATTGTTTCTTGCTATTCTGAGTTGTTGGTAGTTGTCTCCTGATTTCGTCTTTACTATTTCTGTTGCTGCTCTGTGATCTTGCTTTTGTGTTTATCGAAATCAATTCTTGTTCGTTTTGTAGAAATAGATGTTGTTTCAGTAATTGCTGATTGTTGTTCGGCACTGATTGTTAATCGGCAATTCTTGCTCAGTGCAAATTGTTGTTCTGCGATTTTGCAATCTTGTTCGGTGCTCGTGGTTTATTCTGGGACTTTGTATCCATTTGTTCTAGGGCTTTGCATCAGGTTGGATCTTTATCCATTAGTTTGTTGCACGTTGTTTTATATATATATATATATATATATATATATATATATATATATATATATATATATATATATATATATATATATATATATATATATATATATATATATATATATATATATATATATATATATATATATATATATATATATATATTTGGATTGTGCACGTGTATATTTCATATTTAGAGAAAAACAAGTTCCTTAAATTTTTGACTTTGGAAAAAGAAAGAGAAATTTTGTGTGTATTTTACCAGTAAAAATTATCATGCTTGAGAATTTCAGTTTCGGGTGTATGTCAAGAAAAAAGGATTATGGAATCATTTGGATGATGTATCTATGACACCGTTAGAGACAATTGACTTAGATGCATGGGAAATAGAAGATGCTCAAATTATCATTTGGATTTTCGGTACTATTAATCCTCACATGATTAATGATTTGTGATCTTTTTCCACTGCTCAAGAAATAGGGAACTACTTGAAGCGTATCTATAATCTAGACAATGCGGCCAAACGTTTTCAGTTGGAGTTAGAGATTTGCCAATTACAAACAAAGTAATTTGTCTGTTCAAAAATATTTTTCTGATTTTTTGAATTTGTGGACAGAACACTCTGCGATTATACACGTTGATGTTCTCAAGAATTGTCTCGCTGATGTCCACAAACTTGGTAATTCTGAAGTCTGATTGAAAATTGATTAAATACACAGTGATGAAATAAACAGGCTTTTAAACATGTTTCCATATTCAATATTTTGTAAATGTAAGTTTATATCTCCTTTGAAAAGATGAAACAGGCTTGAACCTATGAGAGTTAAAGTAGTTTATCAGTACCTTGTTGAAATCATGTTTTGACATAACACATATTGGATACTCCAAACACACATTTTATCTTAAATAAATATAGTTGCTGCATAGAAATTTGATAGGAACAAGTATCCTCCTGTTACAAGATAATAAGGAAATGCTACAGAGGTTCATTCAAGCTTTTTTAGGCTTTTTCCAACTGAATGTTATCGGACTTCTCACAATAGTATTTTCATTTGACCATTCTAAGCTTCCAAAACTATCTCTTTCTGAACTTGTTCTAGTACTTGTGAATGTAACAACATACGACTTTTTCTCATCCTTTTTGAACCTTAGCACTTGTGGTTCAACTGTGATATTCACCAAAGACATGTTTGATTTAAACGATACTTTGTAAGTTCCCGCCGCACCCACATTTGTGAGAGTACGCCTGTGTTTAACCTCCATGGTTTCTTCAAAGACCACAGCAAACGAAGGGTAATTGAGGTTTGTTATACTGTACTGCTTCTTTGCGTGACATTTATACTTTCTTTTCACCACGATTTCAATATCTGCAGCTGAGTAGTTCAATGCACAGAGGAAGCTCAAGTAATCATCAACTGTCAGATCATAGACAAGTCCGGGACGTAGTGCAAGAACAGGATCGACGTGTCCAGCCCCAAAGTCAAAGGGTGTCGCATGCTTTTTGTTAAAGCCATCCAACAATGTTTTTCCATTCTTGTAAACCGGATAAGCAGTCGTCATTAGTGCAGATCGAATGGAAGCTGGGCTCCAATCTGGATGAATCGACATGATTAAAGCTGCTATCCCGCTTACATGAGGGCATGCCATGGACGTGCCTGACTCAATGTTAAAATCCACCCGCCTAGAATCCCAAGCGTCATTAGCGGGACTATCATTTCTAGTAAATGCTGCTAAGATGTTAACACCTGGAGCAATGAAATCGGGCTTTAATATTTGAGGGGTTATTGAATTGGGGCCTCGTCCGCTAAAGCTTGCAACAACGGGAGACACCTCAACCCCAAACTTTGTTCTTTCAAAAACAATTTTAGCCATTGATTTGTTAGGATCTGAAGAAAACAAATATTTTTTTATGGCTTCACCATCTTTGAACTTGACAACTATTGTTGGCAAAACATGGGGATCTGCCATCAACTCCTCTCCATAGTCAACAGAGTTGGCTAACACCATGCCCAAACCACCAACTGATTTGACTACTTTTCCTTTTTCCAGCGGGGTAACAAATCCAAATCCAAACCCAAAATCACACATCACGATCTTTCCAGTTACTTTTTCTTTGGCCAAGCTACCCGGATCACACTCACTGGCTATCCCTTCTCCGGCATAATCGGGATTGCTTGCATTCCCGCCATATATAAACGATATTGGAGTATCGGGTAAAGAACTTCCATTGTAAAGGGACACTCCGGTATAACTTTGATTGTTTCCGAGAGTGACATATGCAGGGAAATCTCGGTCGATTGTGCCAGCTCCCACTGTGGTAATCCAAGGTGCTACATTGGTGATACGTGAAGAATAGGGACCAAAGTTTCCTCCGGCACAAGATACCATAATCCCATGCTCCATTGCTGCAAATGCTCCAATTGCAAGGCTGTCCTCATAATAATCAAGTGCTCTATCTCCGATCGACAATGAAAGGACATTGACGTTGTCAGCAATAGCTTGATCAATTGCGGCGATAAAATCAGAGTCCATCATAGTACCACGTTCCCAGCCAACCTTGTATATAGCAACTCTGGCCCCCGGGGCCATCCCACGAGCTGTACCATTAGCGTAGCCGAAAAGACTTGCATTTCTCACTGGAGACCCTACAGCCGTGCTAGCTGTGTGGGTTCCATGTCCATAATTGTCTCGGGGAGACCTAGTATCCTTGGTTTCATTGATCGGACGACCCTCGTATGCCTCAAAGCCCTTAAGATAGAACCGGGCACCTATCAATTTCTTGTTGCAGTTTGAGAATGTGAAATTTGTACCTATTTCACATTTTCCTTTCCATGTGCTGGGAATGGGCCCGTATCCAATATCATCAAAACTCTTGCTTTCAGGCCAAACGCCAGTGTCTATAACACCAACAATTATGTTCCCCATGTTTGTAGATGATGCAGGGAACATGGAAGGAATTCTATCAACGCCAAGAAACTCTGGAGTCCTAGTTGTAAAAAGTTGATACTTTTTATCCGGTAAAACTCTTAAAATTCCAAATTGGTTTGACAACAGCTGCATTTCTCTAGCGGTTAAACTGGTGGAAAACCCATGAATTGCTTTGTTATAGTGGTAGAGAATTTGGGCTGAAGGAGAGACTGACTTAAGAGTTGACTCATACCAATATGAGTCATGTGTGAAGATGGATGGCATTTGAGATTTAGCCATATGAACAATATAACTAGTCTTCTCCTCACAAGTCATACACACACCACAGACAAGCATAATCGTAAAAATAGTTATAACTAGAGGTTTCTTCATGCTAGCCTGCACTTGTAGAAAAAAGAAGAAAGAAATATGCAGATTTCAGTGATTTCAGTATACTATATATATATATATATATATATATATATATATATATATATATATATATATATATATATATATATATATATATATATATATATATATATATATATATATATATATATATATATATATATATATATATATATATATATATATAAAATAAAATTAAAAATAATATTATATTCAATTTATATATAAAAATTAAAATAGTAATAAACTAATTTATAAACGGAATAAAAAAAAACTCATAATAATATTATAAACAGAATCGAATTTAAATTATATATAAAATTAAAAAAAAATTAAAATTGTATAAATACCTATTCTTCAATCTCTTTCCATCAATCTTCTCCTTCAACCTTTTTCTAAACTCTTTAATGTTCTTAAATTTTGACAAAATAAATTAAACTAAAATTTTAATTAGAAAATATAATAAAAATAAACAAAATTATATAAATATATTAAAATTAAATTATATAAAACAATTATCTATGTTAATCAAATATGTCAAATTATGAAACAGAATTTGAAAAGATTAGAGGAAGATTTGAAGAAGATTTACGGTGGAAGAATGAATGAAAGGGAGAAGAGAATGAAGGAAAGAAAGAAGAGAACGAAGACATGTGAATCTGTGAACGAGATTGTTAAATATATACGCCACGTAACGGCGTGAAAAAATCACGTCGCAACCTTACTACGTGATATTCACGTCACAACATACTCAACCGTCAAAAAATTTATTCAATTTATACAAATTTGTACCAAGTCAATTCCTAATCAGATATTTTTTCCATAAAATATTGCGACGTGCTAACGTCACAATTAAATTTTTTAAAATTTCAAAATTCCTTCCGTCTGAACGTTAGAGGCTTTATTATTTTTTATATTAACTTTTAAGTTATAATGTGAATCTCACGTCGCAAATATTTTTATTTCAAATAAAACTCTAATTCCCATTATATTAATGTTATTTTTATTATTTTAATATTAAAAGTTTTAATGATGTAATTATCAAATCACAATTACTTTTTTTTTATTTACGTGATAATCAAGTTCATATCACTGGAGAAGGCTTTTTTTAATAATGCATAGAGTTTTTTTTTGTAATGTCTGTAATGTTGTAGGTTATCGTTTCTTTTATAGTAGTTGAAATGTTTTTGCATGTTTCTTCTTTTTTTAAGGGAAAGAAAATAATAATAGAAGAGGGAGGGTCGGTCATGACATGTGTTAGAGAGAATCATAGAGTATGAGAAAACAAGAGGTATAGATTTTGTTCTGGACTGGGCCCGACAGGCCCAAAAGCATTACTGAGGCCCAGTCCAAAGAGACTCACTAAGGACCACACTGGGCGAAGGGGGGTCACGTCCATGCCCGACACCCTGATGTCCACCACGACATCCCGATGTCCATGCCACGCGGTGAAGTCGTGCTCGACACCCTGCCGTCAGCTCCATGATCTGGCGTCCAGCTCGACGCCCGCCGTCCAGCTCGAGGTCCTGGCGTCGAGCTTAGCACCATGCTGCCCAGCTCGACATGGACCCGAGCTACCCGGCTAGGGCAGACTCAGTCCACCGTTCCCCCAACGATACTCCGGAAAGACCGCGTCTCTGTCCGCCCGCACTTCACGCAGCACATCCAGGAAGGGGACCACGTGCGGGTCCCCACTACCCACGTAGAACCTGGCAGTTCCTCCATTGGGCCAAATCCGCCCAGCCCAACGAAGGAACCTTGGCCCAGCGCTGGGGGCTATAAATACCCTCTGTTTCCAGAGGGTCAGGTATTCATCATTCTAACCTCAACTCTATTATCTGCTCGTACTCCCACTGACTTTAGCATCGGAGTGCCTTGCAGGTACCCCCCCCCCCCCCCCCTCCTCGTTCAAAAAGCTTTCAGCTCGGAGCAAGCCGTGACGGTCCAAACCTTCTGATCAGGTCAGATCAGTGGCGCCGTCTGTGGGAAACAGCTTCCCCGTCTAACGAACAATTCCAAAGACCAAAGCTCAAGTCAACTACCTGTCATGGCTGATCCAGCTCGTGAAGAACAGCACGTCCGTGTCACCGACACTAACAACGGTCCCTCGGACAAGAATGGACACCTGGACAATCCCAGTGATGCCGGCCACAATGCCATCCCCGTGACAACCGCCCCTGGACCTTCCACCCGCAGGGACGGGAACACTGCGTCATCCTCGACGACTCCTCCAAGACTCGAAGACGATCCGGAAGCCCTCGCCTACCGCAGAGCTGCCCGGTTCTATGAAGTCCAAGTTCCTGCTGGGGCAGATGCCACGACTCAGGCACTGTTCGCGGCCATCAACCAAACAAATTATCTCCTATTTGCCCAAGGAGAAAGACTGAGGGCACTGGAAAATGATCGACGACCCCCGAGGAGGCATCTGAGGCCGCCATCTCCACCTCCTCGGGTCGAAGAAGCTCGACACCCTACTCCCCCGCGGAGACATTACAGGGAGAACTCTAGGAGCCCCTCTCCCCCACCAAGGCAGAGGCGGCCCCAATATGAAAGACAGCCCGTCATCCCTACCGAAGAGCCCAGTCGCGACCCATCAAGGCACGACAGGAGGCACAACAGAGACGGGCGTGTGACCTTCAACCACCGAGCATCACGCTCGAGGGAATCTCAGCACGACCAGCGTGCCAGACATAACTACAGGACCCCTTCTCTTTCTCCCGAAAGGAGCGACGAGGACGACCCCCGCGGTCCCCTGTCGCAGGCCATCATGGACGCACCTATTCCCCCGGGCATGGAGAAGCCCCCACATCTGAAGGAATATGATGGAGTAGCGGACCCAGTCGACCACATTGACGGGTTTGAAGCCATGCTCCACTACCATAATGTCGGGGGGCCCATCAAGTGCCGTCTCTTCCCCACAACTCTCAGGAAGGCGGCCATGGACTGGTATAAAGGACTCGCCCCGGGCTCCATTACCTCGTGGCGGAATCTGAAGAACCAGTTCATCAGTTCCTTCACAGCTTCTCGGCGCCACCCGAAGACCGAGGCAGCCCTCGAGGCCATCATCCAAAGACATGATGAGACCTTGAGGGAATTCATCAACCGCTTCAACCGGGAAGCAATACAGGTCCCCTGCGCGGACCATATGAAAAGGTACTTGCTGGAGAGGGGCCTCCTCCCCGGCACAGAATTCAGGAAAGCTGTGGGCATTGAGCCACCTGTAACTTTTGATGCTCTCCTCGACAAAGCCCGAGCATACATGGACTACGAGGAGAGAGAAGCTGCCAACAGGGCACGAGACTCCAGGGCTCGCAATCATGGCAGCAGCTCGAGACAAGACCCTCCTCCCCGACGCACCGGAGAGAAGAGGAAGGAAGATCGACCCCGGGAGGTCCGGGAACAAAGGGGCCCCTCGGGCCGTTTCACCGAGTACACTCTGCTCACGGCTTCCCGCGAGCGTATTCTGGCGGAGTGTGCTAGCACAGATTTTAAAGACGGTGGCGTCAAGCGTCCCCGGCCAGCTCCTGCCAAGCCAGGAGTAGACAAAAACAAGTACTTTCAGTACCATAAGAGTCATGGTCACTTGACAGAGGACTGCGTCCACCTGAAGGACGCCATTGAAACCCTCATCAAAGGAGGGAGGCTTGCACAGTATAGGCGAAACGACGCTCCCCGTCGGGACGCCCGCGAAGCAAAGGAGCCCGAAGAAGATGCCCAACCATCTGACGAGTCGGTGCCAATCCAGACCGCCTTCTCGGTAACCAGGCCCGAGGATTTCGAACTTCCCGAGCTCCTGCAGGAGCCCCTGACAACACACAGCAGGTGGGAATATTTCCCCTCCGCCATGGTCATCAACGGGGGCGGGTTCAACGACCTCACCATCAACTCGGCCAAGAGGAAGTTGGACGAACTGGTCGACAAAGCTCCTCCACAAACTGTGACTTTCGAAATGGTGAGGGGCAGATCAGAGCCTATCACCTTCTACTTGGAAGAGCTCCCCGGCGGAGCACCGAACGCAGTCATCCCCTTGCTGATAAGGGCGAAGATGGCCAATTTTGATGTGCATCGCATCCTGGTCGACGAAGGGAGTTCCGTCGACGTGATGTACACCCAGCTGTTCCGGACCTTGCAATTGGATGACTCACATCTGTCTCCGTATATAGGTTCAGACCTTCAAGGCTTCAACGGCTCGACTTCCAAACCTTGGGGATATGTCGAGCTCCTCGTGACATTCGGGGAAGGAACTGCTACAAGACAGGTGAAGGTCCGCTTCCTCGTCATTGACTGCCCGTCCCTATACAATTGCATCTTGGGGAGGCCGACATTGGCGGAGCTGACAGCGGTCCCCTCAACTGTCCATCTAAAAATGAAGTTCTATACCAAAAGGGCGAGGGTAGCCACCATCCAGGGCGACCTCGCCGCTGCTCGCCGTTGCTTCAACGCCGCTTCAAGGGGACGGGATACCGTCGACGTGGGTACCAGCACCAGACCCACCAAGAAGACAAAGCAAGAGCCCGACAGAGCATCCCCCGAGGTAGAAGTTCAGAAGGCTCCACCAAAGGTCGACTCCATAGCCCTCGACGCCCGCTTCGACCAAGACGAGCCATCCAGCAGCGAGCAAATCCCCCTCCGACCAATCCCGGACGGCGATTTTGAACTCGTTCCCCTCGGAGCAGACCCGACCAAGGGAGTGAAGATTGGCAAGGACCTCCCCGACATGGCCAGGAAGCAAATCAAGGCCTGTCTGCGCGAGAATGCTGATCTCTTCGCCTGGAGCGCTGCAGAGATGCCCGGACTCGACCCTGAGGTCGCCTGTCATCACCTCGCCATCGATCCAGCCGCCAAGGCAGTAGTACAACGTAGGCGTAGGCAGTCTCCAGAAAAAACGGAGGCTGCTGAAAAAGCTGTAAAAGACCTCTTAGAGGCAAATTTTATTTCTGAAGCCCGGTACTCCACCTGGCTGTCAAATGTTGTACTTGTCA